CCGCCCCCCCCCCGCCGCCGCTCCCGAGCCGGAGCCCGAGGCGCCGGAGCCGGAGGCCGCTGCCGACCCGGCCCTGGAAAGCGCCCTGCCCGAGCCCGGCTTGCCCAAAACCGGCAGCGCCCCCGGCTCCGACAACGAGGACGTGGCCAAGAGGAAAAACCACAACTACCTGGAGCGCAAGCGGCGCAACGACCTGCGCTCGCGCTTCCTGGCGCTGCGGGACCAGGTGCCCGGCCTCGCCAGCTGCCCCAAGACGCCCAAGGTGGTGATCCTGAGCAAGTCGTCCGAGTACCTGCAGTCACTCATCAGCGCCGAGCGCAGGATGGCGGCCGAGAAGCGGCAGCTGCGGCTGCGCCAGAGCCAGCTGCTCCGAAGGATTGCTCACCTGCAGGGCCACTAGCGCCATCGCCGGCATCCCGGCTCCTTTTGCACATTTTTCAGTTGGCGCGAGGCTCGGGGCGCGCGCCGCGGCCGCCGCACACGTCCTGCCATCCGGTTAGCGCTGCTGGGATCTGTCCCTGCGTGTTCATCCCTCCTTGCAAGCCTGGAGCGAGCAGCGCCCGGAGCTTGTGTGGGGCCGGATGCCCTGGGATCGGGACAGCGGGGAGGCCTCCCTCTCTCTCCAGGCTGCTGGTCCTCTCGGCTCGGGCCGGGCTTTACCTCACTTCCTTACACTTCACGCAGTAGCTCGTTTTGGATTTTTTGTGTTTTAGAAACTGCTGCTCTTACTGCAAGTCTTATACTGGAGGCTGTGTTTTTATACTGTATTTTTGTACCACTTTTTGAGAAGTATTGGTAAAGAGTTTGTTTTTTTTATATAATTTTTTTTTTGGGGGGGAGGATGAGGGGGGGTCCCTGCTGCGGGGGGGGGGCTCAGGCCTGCTGCAGTTTGAGAAAGGGGGATCGGGAAGGGGCCGATGCCTGCCTGGCTCCCCCCTTGCAATATGGGGGGGTCCCTCCCTGTCCCCTCTCCCTCCTCCTGCTCATCCCTGGCCAAGGGGCTCCCGGGGGCTGGGGCAGGGGGAGGTTCTGAGCGTCGCTGCCCCCGGCAGCCCCTGCCTGACCTGCTGAGAAACGTTAGAGTTAACACTGTGGTCGGATTTAGCACTTTCTTCATTACCTCACACTTCATAAATAAATAAATTGCAAAGACGACCTGGGTTGGCTTCTTCCAGGAAGGTGGCAGCGGGTTTGGGCCTGGAATCTGCTGCGCTGCTCTGCGACAGGGGCTGGAGATGCATTTTGGGCTCATGGAGCAACACAGGGACAAGGGCAAAAATCTGCCCTGCAGTGAGGGGACAAGATGGCCCTCCCAGGCCCCGTGGCATGGGATTTCTCCCTGTGCCCAGACTGCAGCATGTTGTGGAATGAGGCACCTGGGTTATTTTTCTTCCTTTTAAGGGGCTTTATGAACGAGGAGGGGGGACTGTAACCATAACCTCCCCTGATGGGGCTGGGAGCCCGTAACTCTATAGGCGGATGAGGAGTGGGAATGCAATCCGCTCGCGCCAAGGGTCCTGGGAGAGCTTCCCAGGTCTGGATCTGCCAAATGGGTGAAATTATATATAGGTATCCTGATGCTTTGGGGTTGTGGTTGTGCTGGCGGCAAAAGTCTTGCCCTAAGTGCAGGAGAGCAGAGGGATGAGGATCTGGTTACTGCTGAGAGAGGCTGGGATGGAGCCACAGAGCCGGTTCTCCTGCGGGAGCCTCAGAAATACCGAGTCTGCAGTGAAGGTCTCAAAATACCTGGTCCCCATGTCCCTGCGGGGTCTCATGCTCGGTGCCCTGTGTCCTGGCATCTCAAAACCTTCCATGGCCTTGAGATTTGCATCATTGCTGGAAGGTGGGAAAGTGCTTTTAAACCCATGACTGTGTCGGAGCCTGGGATGGAGGAAACTTGACTTTGGGGAGAAATCTGAGACTTACAAGAAAACCAATGATATCAATTTGAAGGCAGTGAGGAAAGTTGGGGTGTCCTGCTGCACTCAGGGCCCAAGAAAGAAGCCTGACGGCCATGGCGGTGCCACAGCCTCACGCCTGGCTTGGCACATTCCTGCATGGATTGATGCGATCCGGCACTAATCCCGTCTCCGCCAATGGATGCTGGTTCCGGGCACTGCGGCCGGGCGGGCATCCCGCGGCTCCCTGTTGCTAGGGCAAAGGATGGGTGTTGCTAGGGCGAGCGGGCGCCGTGGCGATACCCTCCTCCTGCTGTCGCCCTGGCAACGGTCTCCCTGCCCCTCTCTGTTGCCATGGCGACAGTCGCCTCCTCCCCATCTCCCTGTGTTGCCGTGGTGATAGTTCCCCCCTCCAAGGAGGCTGCAGTCACCCTGGCAACACTTTCCTTCGTGTTGCTGCGGCAACAGCCCCCCTCTGCCTCGTTGCTACGGCAACAGCATCCTTCTTACACCCCCCCCCAAAAAAAAAAAAAAAAAAAAAAAAAAAAAAAAAAACCCTCTTGATGCTCTTGGCTGCCCTTGGGGACCCGAGAGGGCCCCAGTGCCCCTGACCCTGCTCTGGGGAGAGGTGTGGGCCCCTCCGAGGGCTGCGAGGGCCTTGATGGGACAGGGACTCGCCACGGAGCAGGGGCAGGGACTGGCCGTGGGGCAGGGAATAGTCCCGGGAAGAG